CATGTGTCCCAGCTGTGATGTCGGATGCGATTTTTGGAAGCTCAGCTCTACGTGTATTTACAGTAAGGTATTTCACAAAACTGAAACTGTTCTGACTTGACTCGGTTGAACTGAGCATTAGAAACATAAAATGTATTTTATGTCACCTTTTTAACTTTTCGGTCTTGTCAATGGATTAAATCAGTGGCGAATGACCAGTTTTACAGTGGTCAGTGATGCTTAGTGAAGTTTACTGCCGTAGTAAACTGAACTGTCTACTTTTCAACGGTCCAATATCTTTTGTAGAAACAAATATGAATGCAGCAGTCAAAACAAACTCTACACGCAGAAAGATTAGACAAACTCTTGTCTGTATCTCTTTTTGAAATCTATATTTGTATTTCAATATCGTTGTAGGGACGGGGAGACAGTTTAACCATGATGTTCCCATTACGTATTGTAAAAATGTGCCGAAGCTTTATAATCGAACAGACGTCACCTAGCAGTCGAACGTGGCTCAAGTGACCTCTCAGCTAGAATAGCAACAAACCCAATGAACATTCTCAGGGTATGTAATATATACCTATGCGGAATACGCTCACTGATCTTTATATGGGCCAATGAAGCGATGACATGGACCGATTACTTAGCATTTTCTGGCCGCCTGTGGAAGGCTTCGCTCCTACAACACGAGAAGACCTATCGAGGGCCTTGAAAGAGAACAAATTGGCATCACGTCTTTGCAAGAGACGCAGAGCGACGACGATCATAGAGCGGCAGGATAGAAAATTACGTATTCGATATGGTCGCTAATATCAGTGATTCCAAATACTGTTCAGTTACCCATAGCAGAGTATACTTTAAGAGTGTCGCGGTTCTGAATACTTGCAAAGATCAAATAGGCGAACACGAGCGTCAGAAAAATCACCATAATGAATATAGACAAGCAACTTGGAACCTACTGCTCGACCCCACTGCTGCCATCGCTGCCTCACGAAGCTGTTCATTCGGGCAATTTGAACAGTCACCATCATGCTACACTGTAAATAACGCAGCGGGAGAACAGCTAACCGACTGGTCTAGCTGATGTAGACTTATGGCATAGCGGTGTGTACTTATACCATAGGTATTTTCCGATCAGCCGCGAGATTCGCTGAAACCCCGATGCCTTCTCCGGAGACGGTCGCGACAATCCGCTCCATACTTCCAGAACAGTGCTTGCACTCTTTTATACTATGAATTTTATATGTGGTTTTGCTCGGGTATGAAGTTAGTTTTCTTGTTTAAGTAGTTTCTAATGCTTGAAATCATCTCAATGGCCGTTGCTTTTCAGGCAACTCACTTATTTGACAATTTGGTGACGGTTTTGTTCGCCATTTTCATGTCCACTTGGGCGGCTCTATTTCTGGAGGGTTGGAAACGCCGTCAGAACGAACTGGCATGGAAGTGGGACCTGCTCGATTTCGAACTGGAAGAGGTTTGATTAATGTGACGTTTTCATTTGTCGTGCATCGCATGTTGCTTAGACATTTTTAGGATGTAATCAGGCCAGAATTTCTTAGAACTGCCAAAAAGCTGGCTGTGAACCCAATCACTAAGGTACTTTTACTCATTTTACTTTTGAATTTGTCCGTTCGAACCAATTACCATGCACAGTGTTTAGGAAACGGAACCGTACTTGCCATTTCCGGAACGGTTTTTTCGAATGTTTACTTCTGGGGTTACCGTTCTCTTTTTCGTAAGTTTTCAGACTTTACATGCTATTGCTGTGAGTAAACTTTATAAGCTGTTGCGCTATAGAATTTATTTGTTTATCGCATGTAAAAAGTGTCAGGCCCATTTGTGACGTCAGCAGAAAGCAGGTTCACGGTTGCCAAGCCTTAGTTCAGTCGTGTCGCTGGGCAGTTATTAATAGTATGAGACTGACCACGCATACAGTTTGGGCTCATCTGAATACATCATCGGTGGTGATTAAGCGTTATTTATTCTTTATCAGTATATAATTTATTGAGCAGTCCACAGTTGCTGAGTGATAAGTCAAGGGCTGTCCGACTCGTCGTATTGTCATCAACGATTGCATGATCCGTCAGTGCTCTCGTTGCTAGTACCAGAAGTCCATTGTTTGCAGGTGCTCAATGGTGGCTAAATGGTTAGAGGTGCAACTGGGAATAAGAGAGTAGTTTGTTTTCATGACATTAGTAACGATGCCTTGAATTAGATTCTGAACACCTAGCGTGTTTTATTTTGTGAGCCATTCACCGTGCATTGTCTGAAATGTGTCTTTAATCCGATAACACCGTTGTCAAATTCAGTGAGAAAGAAGTAAGATGATAAGTCTGTCATGTTTTCGTTTGTTATCGATGCGGACGATGGTCTCCAGTCATTCCCTTTGACCTTTGTGTCCGATGATTTACTTGGTTCTCCTTTACAGATTTGTTCTAGACCGCTGATATTCTGTCAGTTCTTGGTAAGCGTATCATTAGCATTCAATCTGACGATTCACATAAGGCTTTGCAGCTATATCATGATTAGAAAATGCACATTACTCTACTTCGCTTTTGCAAATCAATTTTGGACGTCGACGTCGTTGCTTACACATTGGCAAGCATAAGTTAATTTACTGGTTTTCATGGTTCTTACGGATATGGATCGTATCACAGGAAGTAACGAACATTCAGACCGTACTAGGCTCCTTTTCGACGAACATTGAGCTGAGCAATCTCGTGGGAAACATGGAGACGATGGAATTGATTTCCCATAAAAAAGGAACAGCGTTATGATTTCAGGTTCATTAGTACACAAAGCCTGATTAGCTGGTAATTAGTGATAAATCGACCTGTTAAATATACTAGCATGAAATACAAAAATGGGCATATATTTCCTTACAATGCCATACTAAATCCAATTCCAGTGAATTCATTTTCAAAGTTAAATAAAATTTTGTTAGAAAACAATCGAAATATCAACGTTATCACGACTGTCGGCTATCAGTACTTATGCACATAGTTTACTCATTAGTTAAATCACCTTTTACGTGCCATTGCCTTTTTAAAGTGTATTGTCTATGTAATGGGTTTGCCGCAGGCTCTTTTCAAGCATATTCCAATGGTTATCTTCGAAGATCTTGGCTTTTTTTAAATTTGCACACGCTTCCAGGCATTTTCATCCTTGAAATTTTGAAAAGGCTCTTCAAAATTCAGTTACTGTTGAAGGCAGTGAGTTGAGAATCTGCGTATTTTACAGATTTCTTGTGTATATCAGAGAAAGGCATTTTTGGTTATGGTCAAAGATCTGTATGCATTTCGTGGAGAACTTTTTAGGTTTTTTTATAAGAGGTGACATCACCAATGGCCTTGGTAAATGAGATTTAAAGTAATGAATTTTAAATAACAAACCTTCACTTAACAACGAAAAGATATCCAAAATGTCAGGAGACCTGTAGTTTGTCCAAAAATGCCGTTGAGCCCAAAGGTGACATGCACTGTATGGAATGAAACTGGCCTCAGTCTTTCAGTTTCGATCACCAGTACTACTTTGAAGAATTGGCCGTGCAGTGCATTGCACCAGGTTTTACGTCAAAGTCAGATGTCTTCTTATTTCTAGATTCCTGTGATTGATTGTGCGACTGTTTGGGCAGGCAGGGGCTTAATCGTATTTACCTACCTATAGTACTTGGACCTGCATTACCGTCATAGTGTTTGTTTGAGCAATCTGCGCGTTCATGACGTCAGCCGGGATTAGGGGTTCGGTAAGCAAACATGATCACGTCGCTAACACAAATTCTGCTACTGTGTATTTTTGAGATGCAGTCTTGATAAAAAGTGCGTATTGTTTTCATCGCATTTCTATATATCATCTATCAGCTGTTACGCTGATCTGGCGATCTTTCATTTTTTGAATTTTAACCTTGCACATAAATGTCATAAACAATGCCTATAACCTTGTCATTCTCCATTTAAGACGTGCAGATACGTTGAAAGATTTTATACTTTACATAATACCAGTCAGAGCCCCTGTCGTAAACAAACAATTTTTGGCCTCAGGACAGCTGTCATGGGAGACGTTCTGTCATTTACGGTTATCAAAAGTGCATACTTAAAATTCGATTGTTTCAAATTATTTTGTTTTGTTATACTTTTTAATTTTAGCTTTGTTTGTTTATTGCCTTTGCTATTGGGATTATTATTTATCGTGTGGTGATGATTCACCATTTCGACAAGCACGAGTCGTCTATTGTTCGAGTTTACGCCGGCCTTGCAGCCACAGCCGTTTCTGCATTGTTGAATCTCATTATCATTATGCTATTGGAAAGAGTAAGTGTTACTTTTACATATTAGCGTTTCGTTTCTTAAGCTTTAGGCTGTGAGATCCATCTGTTAGCTGCAGGAAAACAGTGAGAATTTTATTTTCCTCACTTATTCAGTTTCGAAGATCGCTAATCCTTGGGGTCGCCAAAGCAGCAGCGCCAGACAGGATCTCCAATCTTCCTGATTCTGCCCTAGCACCTGAGCTCTGACAGTGGACTGTTCGAGTTTGGAGGTGAATTTGTCGAAGTCTTACTTCGTTTTGACATTCCGCGTGGTCTTTTGCTGATTGGTTGAGCAAGTAGTAGCAGTTTCGCGTTCCTTTCTGGAAGCATTCGAAAAATTCCCAAACCATGGGACTGTGACATCTGAACATGTGCTGTAAACCAGGGCTTTCTTGGATATCTGAACGCCACATTCTGTAAATATGAAAGCCAATTTCATTTGCTTATTTTTTGATCGATTTTTTTCATGGCCCAGACTCACGATCATAAGTAAGCATGGAAATGAAATTCTACTTGAACACAGTCAGGTTCGTCTTCAGACTTGGCTCTGCCTTAGTCACAGAAGTTCGGGAAATTTCAGGCAGACGAACTCTTCTGGCCATCTAGATTCGTGGGTTGATCACCTTATGTGCGTTTTCCATCATCGATGAAAACCGTCTTACGGAAAGTTAACTGCTCCACCTATTCCACTGCTCTACCATTTATTTGCGTAGCACAACGGGCTTTGAATCTATTTTATTTCTTAATCTCGGATTATTGATTTCGAATCAGGTTGTACCCGTTTTACTGTTCTGCGTGTACCTCTGTCGCAGTCTGAAGGAGACTTTCCAGTTATGAAAATTCACGAAAACTATCGAGAACCACAGAAGCCTCAGACAATACGGGAGAGAATTAGCGCTGTATCTGTTAATCAACACGACACTGAAGAACGACGATGGCGCGGTGACATTTAGCAGAGCTGAGCTGCAGTCTGTTTGTAAGAACTTTTGCATTCAGTTGTTTGCGTCAAAGGTAGGCGTCCCTCTGGCATCGCTCCAACAGCCAGAAGATAGTGCACTCCTGAATACGTTGCGTTAGGCATCAGCAGTGCAGCCGTGCCGCGCAACGAATGAGGGTAGAGACCACCTTGAGACAGACTGTCTGAAAAGTGAAATGATCAGAACAGGTTGTCAGATTCTTTGGAAGGCTCTAGAAAGGGAAAACGTACCGTCGAGCTGGAGGGGTTAAAAACAAGCATTCTTTTCAAGAAAACGAGTTGAAGAATTTAAAGAACTCTCGCTCAGTCTGCCTGCAAGAGGTTCCCAAAGATTACCAACAGACTGTCAACAGTTCTTAATGATCAGCAGCCATGAGAACAGATTGGATGGCGAAATAGCTATAGGACAGTGCATAACAGTTTGACTTAAATCAGCTTGAACGCTAATGGGAATACCAGGTCTCTCGGTGCTTCGCCTTCGCTGACTACGAGAAAGCATTCGACACTGTCGAGTATAGCATGGTGCAGACTGCATTGTCTGAACAAAGTTTATTGACAGCCGTTACAGGAAACAAACTGGCTGTTTCACCAACATCACGCTGTTTGGCACCCCCTCCGGCTTTCTGTAAGGAAGGCTATAAAACAAAGGTGCATCATCTTTTCTAAACTTTTCACTGTCTGTTTAGAAATGTAGTTCCGGAAGATACGCTGGAAAGGTGGAATTAACATAACCGATGAACAGCTAAGTTTTGCTGATGATGTCGCGATGTTTGCAGAAAATGCTAATCAATTTAAAAACATCTTTCAGCAGCTCGACCGAAAAGTATAGAGATAAAACTGCGAAACAGTCGTCAAAGACCAAGATATTGCGATCGAATACCTTCGCTAAGGCCGTCCAGGTTGTGTTGAGTGGTGAAAAAATCGACGAGGTCGATACATATATTTATTGGGACTAAGAGACCAACATGCTGCTTGATCAGATTTGAGAGATTCAATTGAAAAATAGGCCGGTTGGCACACCTTCTAATGACGTCAGCCTCGGCAAAATCAGGAACGAGTTTTCAACGGACTTTCACCCCTTTCTTCAATTCTGCCGTTTGTTAGCAGTGTTGTACGTCTGTGAAATATGGCCACTCACAAACGCCGCAGTGTGCCAGCTATCTCTGTAGGAGAGCCATAAAAAAAGAATTTTGGCGACCTCTTGTCGGAACTATATCTCCTAAATTGTGATCAGATAACGACAGAAGTAAAGGACGTTGTGG